AGAATGTATGCAATGTGTTAATTATTGAAACTGTCCTAGCGATTTGATTTGAAACTGTCTCATTGCTATTTGTTTATCAATAAAACTATGGAAAAAAAAAGTAATTCCTTGTTTCTAAGCATTATTAAAGAATATAAGATTTTACTAGCAAGGTTTTACAGTCACATACAAAATTTCATGGTGGCCAGAGAGAATGATGTGTGCCTTTAATTTCTATTATCATTGGTCGTTTGATTAATTTTGTACATGGAAATATTTTCCAGCTTTCAAAATCCTTTTAAATCTTGTTTTAGCACTAATACAATGCTTTCAAAAATATTTCTTGAATAACTTAGCTCACATATTGTTGAGCATTCCAGATTTTCAAACTCAATTTTTATTCACACATAGTGAATTCAGTCATTGTGTAGATAGTTCATACATGTATATGACACATACTAATTCTTTCAAGAATTCTCTTTTCCCTTCTCCCCAATTGCAGTCTCCTTTCCCTTTTCAAAAGATCTTCCTATTTCATATTTTATATTTTTTATTTTGCTGTTTGATTTTTTAAATTGCAATTTAAGCTTGCGTGTCTTGTTTTATTTCATTTAGTGTTTTGGTCTTGTGGTGAATCCATTTTCCTACAAATGATTCAAGTTTATCCTTCCCAGAGTAGTGCTGCATTGTACAAACATCACATTTTCCTTATGCATCTATCTGTTGATGGACGTATTACTTAAAGACTTAATGTGAATTGTAATGCTATAAACGTAGGTAAGCATGTATCAATGTGATTATGATCTGTTTAATGCTCTCAAGAGGACACTTAGAAGGGGAAGAGTTATGTTGATGGAATTTCTAGTTTTAGTTCTTTTAGAAATCTCCATCCTGATTTCCACAGTAATGTTACTAGTTTACATTTCTACCAACAATGTAGAAGGTACCATAGTTTTTCTCTGTGGTCCTTAGAGTTTGTTGTTCTTTGATTTCTTGATAGCTGTTCTTTTTGGAGTAGTTGGAATCTCCGTGTTGTTTTGCCTTGCCTATTGCCTGCACATTTGTACTTTTGAGAAGTGTTCATTCATTTCATTTCCTCTTTTTGGGGGTCGGAGGCAGGGTGTTTTTATTTTGTAAGATCTAATTTTCTTGTTATATTGTAGATATTAATCTTCTGTCCAATGTATAGCTGTTAATTTTTTTTTCTTTGCTGTGCATAAGCTTTTTGGCTTGCGTTAATCCATTTGTTGATAACTTAATATTATTTTTGTACAATCTTCCTTTTTATTCAGATTGCTCAGTTTTTTTTTTCTAGCCAATTGTTTCTGTTTTAATATTTAGATCCTTGATCTATTTTTGCCTTCAGCATAGTCTGTGATGAGAAAGAAATGTCTAGATTTAATTTTTCTTTAGTTGATCTCTTTATGAAGATGGGAGGCAGAAATCACCCATTACAATTATGTTGGTGTTGATTTGACCTTTTATATCCAGCAATATTTGTTTTATGAAGTTAGGTGCCCAAGTATTCAGTGCATGCATATTTACAGTTGTTATTTCTTCCTGTTGAATTGATTGATAAGCTAAAATGTACTGACCTTTGTCTCTTTTGATCAGTTTTGGCTTGAAGTTTCTTAGTCTGAAAATAAAATTTTTATCTCTGCTTTCTTTTGGAGTTCTGATTCATGGAATATTATTTTCTATCCTTCGTTTTTTGTTATAATCATATCTTTTACAATCACTATCTTTTGGGTTATTTCCTCTTTTATTTATTTATTTTTCTTTATTTTAGGGAAAGGTCTACAGGGTGTTCAGGGTCTCCCTACTAAGTCGGACTCCTAGTGATTCTCCTATTTATAGCCTCCCACGATTTTTTGGATTAGATGAGTTTCTTAAAAGCAATGAACTATTGAATTTTGTTTTGTTTTGTTTTTTTTTTTAAACCTAGTTTCTAAGTCTGTGTCTTTTAATTGGAGAATAAAACCATTACATTGAGAGTTATTACTGAAAGGTATTGACTTATTCCTCTCATTACATTCTTTTTGTCTTATTGTCTCCTTCATTTTTCCTTTATTTTTTTAGAAGTGTACTCCCTGTCTAGTGTATTCATTTCACAAACTATTTGGCTTTGTAGACCTCATTGTTTCTGTCGAGGTTTTCCCTATTTTTTTGAATAATTATTTGGTGATCATGAATTTTCTTATTATGGAAAGACCTTTTGTGCATACATTTTTCAGAGATAGTTTTGCAGGGTATAATGGATCAATCTGGGATGGAAGTTGTTTTCTCTAGGACTTGGAAAACTTCACTCCAAGCATTGGGTTTGCCTTTGTACATGATTTTTAGATTTTTCTTCTGACAGCTTTAACATTCTTTAACATTTTGTTGGATGTATATCTGGGATTTTGACTGATGCTTCATGAGGACTTTCTTTTTCATAGTAGTTATCTGGTGTTTTGTACGTTTCATTTAACTGTATGTTGAATTTTTTTTTATACTTGGATGATTTTTTCTATAATCTGTAAAGTTATTTTTAATTCTAAATATGCTATCCTCTGATTTCTTTCTAACTTGTTAGCTTTAGTTTAGTTTTCTTATTACCTACTCACTGTTGAGTGATTTTGTTTTGTTTTCATTATTTTTAAAGCTTCTCCAAGGTATTTGTCATAAATTTCATCCTCTTTTATTTATTTGTTTTTCTTTATTTTAGGGAAAGGTCTACAGGGTGTTCAGGGTCTCACTACTAAGTCGGACTCCTAGTGATTCTCCTGTTTACAGCCTCCCAAGAGCTGGGATTATAAGCATGTGTCACCACACCTAGTCTCAGCTGCCTCTCAGCTCACTCCAGGACTGTTATTTCCTCTTTTCACCAAGTTTCTTTAGTTCCTTTTATTTTATTTTTTAATTTTATTGAGAAACAGCAAGGAGACAGTTTCAAAACTGATTAATAGGACAGTTTCAGTAATTAATACATTGCATATTGTTATCGTCTTAGTGGTTATTCATAATACAAGATGCAGACATGATATCCTGTCCAAATACTATTAGTACAAATCTTTCTTCT